ATGATATTTGGAGCAATTTTACCTTGAGATCGTTGATTCAGACCCAGGCCAGGCTGGCTGCCAGCAAAAGTCATTACCAAGGGACAGCCTATGAAATGAGTGGAGGTCTCAGGTACGACAAAGATTTCCACTGTTTAGCACAGCACATATGTCACACGTCCTTTTAACAGCAACAAGTTACGGGTTCCAGGTTAGGGTACACTGCTCTCTTCCCTCTGGTAAAGACAAGACTTGGGACTGATAGTTGACTTTTGTTAGAAAAACATGAGCTCAGCTCTGGTGAAGTTTTCTCTTCTAGGGTTGGCACTGTGGGGTCCATAGCTGCAGTCACACACAGGGACTTTGGGCAGGATGAACATGGAAACAATTTTTCCCCACCTTCACAATTCCTTTGCGTCACTGACTTAAGTATCTTTGCTCTTGGCCTCAATCGACAGTCTCACTTGATCCTTGAGGGAGAAGCTGAGGTGTGTGCCAACACAGAAGCTAAACCTCTTCTACCCCAGGGAGTGGTTTCCAGGTCCTGGGATGTGTAGATGGAGAGGAGCCAGAGCCTGTGCTGAACCCAAGCTCAGACCTTCATCTTTCAGAACCATCACCCTCCTCAGCACTATTCATTAAAGATTTGGGATATTCTATACGACTTTTCATCATGAGCATAGTGTGAGCACACTGATAACTTTGTCTTGGATACTGACTCCAGCCATCACAACTTCTTTGCAATTACTGCCCCATCCATGCTCCTGCACTAGCACAGGAGCCCACGGTATGGACCAGAACTGGACTTTAGCACCTGCCACCCATGATGTGCTGCATCCCAGTCCCTTGAACACCTCAGAGTATCTTAGACCAGCTAACATGTATGGCAAAAAGAAGCAGACAAGAAGCTTAGCCCTTGTTCATGTGCGTAGCTCATTAATGGAACAGCCACAGGACTGAGACCCCATTGCAATCTCCCTGCAAGGCTGAGCAGCTTTTGTGCTAGCAGGGGCTCCGATGGCCGGGTCTGTGGGTGTCCCTGGGGCCACAGGGTCAGTCTCCATCTATCTTCTGCTCCACGTCTGGCTGTGTCTGTCTAAGGAGAGGGGAATGGGCTTGCTCGCATGCTGTAACTGGGTCAGACCCTAAGCGATGCTCACTCCACACACACTAGCAGAGCCCAGCTCAGCTCCAGCACCTGCCAAATGCAGCTGGAAGCACAAATCACTTCATAACTGCTGGTGTTTGTATGGCTGCGCCTGGGTACTCCTGTGGCCAGGCCTGAACATCTTTGTTACGGGTAACTATTTACACGAAAAAAAAAATATACAATGTCATATTTGCTCTCATCTGGATTCATGAGATGGATTTTGTTACGTTCTCTGTGGTGAAAACCAGTCATTCGTGTCTGCAAATAAACACTGTCGTTTTGGCCTCAACCAGCTCATCTCCAGCAGCATTAGTTAATTGTACTTTCAAATCCCTTTTTCTGTCCTAAAATGCACTTTCTGATCATCCTCTCAGTGCAAATATGGTAAATAACCAACCAATACGAACAGCCACAAAGCCATAAATGTTTTATGGCTGTTAAGCCAACATCCATGAATGCAGGCAAAAATTCCTCCTCCGTTCCCAAACTCCAGTGAGCCTGGCTTGGCTCAGAGGGGAGCATGCAGCTGAGTAGTGGGGTGCACCACAGATGTGCCTACTTAGTAGGAAAGGGCTGTTCACCACAGATCACAGGGAGCCCCTTCGTGGAGCTGAAATGCCTTTGCACCAGGTCTCTCGCTCCCAGCCAGAAAGTATCTCTCTCTCTGATGAGAAAAGGGGGTTTTTCTAATTTATTGCTTTTATGGGATTGTTCCTCCACAGAGGCACAAATAGCAGCATATCAATAAAGGCAGTCGTTTGAAGTTGGATATTTCCACCTCTGTCACAGCAAAATAATTAAAAAAGGATTCACAAGATCATAAATTGCATGTCACCAAGGACACAGCCTCCTTAACCCTTCAAAAGCCAGGCTGTGCCCATCCAGGGCCCATGTTACTCAAGGCATGAAGAGACACTTGTTATCCTTAGCATCTCAACCACAAGGGTTTTCTTGTCTGGAAAGAGAGACACTAAGGACCTGTCTATACAGGGAATGAACTAGCTGGCTGGCAGGGTTGTAGCCCAGCTCCAGTATGCAAATGCACATATAGATTTGATTTTTGGCCAGGCAAATGAGAAGCTGGGCTGCAGACCTGCAAGAGCCGAGCATTTAGTCACATTGAAGTTAAAACATGCCACAAGCACATCAGGCATTGGGGAAAACACTTTCAAACGTATTTGAAAAGTGGCAGCATGGAGAGGGCCTAAAAACATTTGTTCTCAGTTAAAAGCTCCTCTGGCTCCTGCTAGATAACAGAAAAGGATGGAGCCCATCTGGGTCAAAAACTGCTGCTATCCTCCTGGTCCCTCCCTAGCACACACACAGCCAGAATGCATCCCAACCCATCGGAAAAAACCCACATTAATGCAAGGGAAGGCAACGCACATTATTTTCTAGGCAGGTTGCAACTTAGCTCCCGATACAACAGCCAGGTTGTGCTCCAGCCTAATTTGATCACAGGCAAGGTTAACAACCGTTGTTAAACTCTGCAGGTCAAATCCTGCCCTCTTATAAATCCAGGACAACTCTGTGGGAAGGGCTGGGGGTGTAAATCTCCAGGTCCAAGTCCTGATGGCACATGGGAGGTGCAGCACTCCTCAGTAGAGAGGCAGGAGAGTGAATGGGGTGTGTGTGGGGCAGCAAATGCCTATTTCTGAGGTGGAACCCAATCCCCAGACAGGCAGCAAGTTGCTGGTTTGATTTTGCTTTCAAAAAGACCACTTACCAAAGCATGTGGGGTTCTGTGGCATTAGAGGTCCCATTGGAGGTGGATTAGTGGGAAGAACAGAGCTAAGTGGTTTATCACAGGGTGATGTATTATATTACACATATCCCATGGCTACATCCACTAGAACCAGCATGTAAGGGAGGCGTGTGTGTTTGCCTCCTTATGTCCTCCTGACCCAATACAAACCCTCTGGAAAAGTGTGTTTCCCTTTTTTTCACCTCAGCAAGATGATGGTGGATAGAGTAAGGGATGTATTTTGCCCAGCCTGGAATTTCTTGTTTAAGCTCCTCAGTGAAGGAAGTAAAGGAAATAGCCATTCTGGTATCCCCTTTTGACAGCACAACCCAAGAGCTTACTTGGGAAAGATACTTGCTGAGAAGTGAGATTTGGTGCATGTTACTCCTGTATTGGAAGCTCAGGCAGAAGGGACACCCAGCATCCAAGTGGCACCAGCAGCACTCCTCAACACAGAGCCTCTGTACCGAGATGTGCATCCTACAAATCTCCCAGTCCTGCAGCAGTGATAACTGGTGCCATAAAAACAGAAGGAGAGGCACGCTTCTCCTTTGCCCATGTTCTGCACCAGCACAAGCAGTAGCAATGCTGGTTGCAAGGGGAAGAAAGGAAACAAGCATGATGTTGAAGAGTCAAACACATTCACATGTTCTTTTTAGACACAATAGGGCTTTACCAGCCACAGGAGATAGAAAATACGTAGTACGTAGGATAATATATGGTGCAGAGGGTCTAAAGCTATTTTTTTTCCAAGTACAGGCTTCCTTGCTCTACTACAGACTCAGAAAGCCAGAGGAGCTCGAAGTCTTTATGCCAAAACAGCATCAGTTTAGTAATGACCAGCAACAGACACAATGAAATTAAACCTTAAGCCTCGATGCTGGGAGGAGGAAAGCAGATGTGGAGCAACAACACGGCTGGTGTGTGCTTGATTTTAACTAATACCCTTTCCTAACCTTTTTTGCCCTCTGTAGTGAGGACTGGAGGGGAAGGGGCTCATTGAGCTCAGCCTATGCATGGATGGAAAATCAGGAGCAGACTCCAACCCTCGGGAGCCCTGCCCTGCCTCCTGGTCCTCTCTCAACATGACACCAAATTAGGACCCTTCAGTGGCAGAGCCACAAACCAGGCAGACAGGGCTAAATGGCCCCTGGGTGCAGGATTACCAGGGCTTTGCTGGAGGATGGGGCAGCGTGGGGAATTGCAGCTCCCTTCCCATCACAGCCAGGCAGAAAGGGCCCGAGGAAGAAGCAGTGCAGATGGAGAAGGGCAGCAGCTGAGCCCCAGCCCCAGGGATGTGCCAGAGAGTGGTGGGAAAAGCAGAGGCTGAACAGCAGTGCCCAAAGCAGGACCAATAAATGGACGTGTGTCACGGAGGGAGAAGGTGCCTGCCACATTGCTCTGGTTAAGCAGGAGGAATAAAGGAGATGGAAAAGATGACTGCTTTTAGGACTGACACCAAGTATCTGCAGAAACAGCTATTTTTGCTGACCCTGTCTGATGCCACCAAGGGAGAGCTGTTAGTGAAACCCTGCGGGTTTATTAAGGCATTAGGAGTCTTACAGAGACACCAAACCCATTTCCCTCACTGTCCTCATGGCCTCCAGACTCCCATGGGCTGTGAATGGAGGTCTGTAGCGGCCATGAAATAAAGCAAGATCTTTTATGCTCTAGAGCAACACACAGAGATTTGTTCCTCTGCTGGAAAACTTCATTCAGGAGTCCACAAACTGGAATAAGTTAAAGTCACAGTTTTATTCCTAAATGGTAGAAACAAATTGCTGCCCTTCTAGATATTTTTTCTATTTTCTATCCAAAAGAAATCATATCTATAAATAATGGAAGCTTACAGTACCTATCAGACTAGCTATAATAAGCATTTTGAGTAGGATGAAATGCTGTCTTATTAGGAGAGCTGAAGGTGCGAAGTTTGCCACCAGCTCCAAAGTGTAGAGATGCTCATATGACATCTGTCTCTTAATATTCATTAGGAAACTGACAGCTAATGTAACATTATCACTAATCCATCGATAGTGCTTGTGTAGTTCCCACGGCCATAACACCCAAGTACCTGTAGCATCCCTGCAGCACGTCTGTGAGAAGCAGGAGAACCTGAATAATCCATACCTGAGCCTCTGAGCAAGGGGTGGGGAAGTCTGAGGGACGGGAAAATCCTTCTTTTCCACGCTGGGGGCCAAGTCTGGATGGGAGCAGTTGATCTGAGTGCTTGGTGACCTTCAAGCTGGATCCCAGGACCACCAAAAGTGGTTGTCCCCAGAGGGACTTGTCTGTGCTCATGCTGCAACACCACCAGCAAACCATGTTGGGACAGAGGGGTCTGAGAAAAACTGTGAGGAGATAAATTATATGAAAACTGAGGGATGTGTCTTTCCATCAGTTTTGTCCCAGAGTGGTCCTATTTGGCCTTTGGGATAAGCCAAGGATGAGGGTGCTTTGCTTTGGCCTTCCCATCACCAGCTCTGAGACAACCACCGGTGACTGCCTCCTGGCACATGGAAACCCCAGGGAAGTCAAAGCAGAAGTGGAGGAGCCATAGCATCTACCCTGTGCTTCAGCGATGGGATCAAACGACTGAAGCCTTGTCTGTGATATCCAGAGCTGGAATCCCCAGGTGGGATTCCTCGGGGTTGGCAGGGACCACTATAGTAGGTATGGCAATATCTGCAACAAACTAGGTAGGTCAGGAGACACAAAGTGAGATTCAGACAGGGCCAGGAGCCCCTGCCATCCTTGCCTGGCCACCAGAGGTGGCAGCCCCTTCTTTCCTCCAAACACACCACAAGCACATCACAGGCTCCTTTTTAACTTAGGAATTAGCAAATCCTGTTGTACCGCAGCAAACACCAACTGTCCTCTTGCAGCAACCTCCCCTCCAGGAGCAAGGATGCAGAAAGGCTTTAAAGAATAACTCCAGCCCCTGCCTAGCCTACAGAGAGCACCCTTTCCATAACTTCATCCCTGGCACCCAAGGGAGGCAGCACCAGGTCCCTGAGGGAGCCTAAAGCAGAGCTCCCCTCTCACCCCTGGAGGAGACAGTGAAACATCATTTTCTCTTGCCTGGAATTAATTCCCCCCCTTTCCTTTTCCTTTGTCTCCTCCCTGCTCAGGCAGTTGATTGTGTTCCCTGCTCAGTTTGGAGTAGGTACACATAATAATAACTTTTTAATAATAATTTAATTTATAACGCACCCCCCCCCGCCAAGGCACTCAAGGCGCTACACAAACAATTAAAGTATGCTTGTAATAAATAAACAACAATAATTAAAACATCATAAACCAGACAATGTTAGAGCCAAACCAAATGCTAAAGAGCAAAACAAAGCAGCATTTTTTGGAGGAAGGAGATCCTTGCACAATTCATCTTCCAAACCTCCTGTTGATGTTAGATTGAAATTCTCCTGCGACGCTGCTTCTGCATCTGCAAAGGTTTTGGTGGTGTCAGAATCATTACAAAAAATGGATTTTGCACTACCATAAATTAACTGGGGTTTTGCAAGGCTGTAATAACACCACATCCCCTTTCATTTGTATAAATTCAAAACCCAGTTTACTCAGGAAACCCAGTTTATGGCCCTGAGTTTGTGTTGCCGACCCTGAGTTTGGGAAAAACATTCATGTTGTTCACATTTGGTAAAACATGCCTCATTATAGCAGCTAGAATGGTTCTATAGACACAAGGATGGTGCTTTAAAGATTTAATGCCAGCCCCCTAAAATGAACAGCAGAGCAGCCTTCTGCTGGCCGTCAGCTCCTTGGAGCCGATGGGATCGGCTTGTCCCAGTTTACACAACTGGAACCAAAAGACCTAAACTAACAAAAGAAGCAATCTTCCTCCAAAACAAATGAAATTCCAGCTCGTGCCATGCAAACGCCGTGCACTGAGCTCTAATGATTCAAGGAGACAGGCTCTGTCGAGGCAGAGGTGGAACTGAAACGCAGCCAGTCGGACCCTCTTCTGAAACAAGCTGGCCACCAGCCCTCAGACAATTACATCTAGGGTCCGTGCACTCGAGTGCCTCAGCTGATCTCAGTTGTTGTGGCAGCGCATGAAGGGAAAATCCTTCTCGCAAACCCAAACCACACGGGGATTTCTCCATCCTAGGGAAAAGAAACAACCCCAAACCAAACCAAAATACATCAGGAAGATGAAGCTGGTGGTTTTCTTCCAGCACAGGGAACCAGGAGGACGTTTTTCATGTGATCCCTTGAGGTTTTGTTCTCATGGGTTTCACTTCGAGCTTCAAATCCAAGCAGATCTTAACAAATCAAAGGAACAGCAAATAAGACCATGTGGCTCTCACACACCAAGCCATCTTTTGGCCAGGGTTCATTCAAACAGAGCCTTCAAAAGGGTTCACAAATCTTCGTGCATTGTGTCACAACTCCCAGCTTATCAAGGCAGGTGAGACGTCTGCAGAAACCACTACAGACTCTGGGCACAGAGAGGGTGCTTTCATTTGTTTGCGTATTCTCCTATGAGGATTTTCCCACTTACAAATTACATGACCTCAGACTCCTGGTTCTCTGCATAGCCACCTCCACGAATGGCCCCAAACTCTGCTCCGAGTGTGTGCTGGAATGGGACCTCTTTGTGTCTGCAGGAGAAAAGGTGCTTTCAAGGAGGAGGCCACATTACCAGGGCTGGGGGTTGATTGTTTCTTACCTCCTCTGAATGCAGCTTCTCATTTCTGCACTGAGGTTCTGCTGCCTTTCACAGAGCTGGTCCTTCCTGGATGCTCTCCTCTTGCAAAGGACTTTCCAAGGGTAAGGAAGCCTAGTCATGAGCTCATGCTCCCACAGCTTGCTGTGTCTGGGCAGCAAGGACCATTCATGAGTCAGGATTCCTATGGTTTTCCCAAATCCTCCATCCTGCATAAAAGTTGTTGAGCAAATTTACAATTTCCACTCCATGGAGGTAACTGGAAATCTGTGCTGCTGGGGCTGCTCAATGGATGTGGTAGCTCCACTTTCTTCTCCAGGAGATGTACCAGCAGACAACAGCATTTGGACTCCAACTCCACAGAAGCTGTTTCTATTTTCCTTGGAGATGGAGTGCACTGGAACATAGACCAGCTCGTTCAAATCTGCTCTCCCTCACACTGGGCCACCTTTCAGCTCAAAGATTCAGATTCCAGGATGAACCACAGAAAATCTGCATTGTTTTCTGTATCACCTTCCTACAAGTGCTCTGTGAGACCTTGCACATGTCAATCAGACACAAACCATCCAAAATGTCATACACCTCCTTCCCATTGGTTTCAAAGAGAGCCAAGCATCTAATCACCTTGGAGGATCTGGATTAGAGCTCCGTGCCTCAGTTTCCCCATGTGATTTCCTGCCTTCCAGCACTGATTGGGCATTAGTACATCACAGCTTTTCTCCTCTGCTTCCTCATTCACTGAGCCATCAGTATTTTTAACTCAGATTTGGGCAATCAAGTGATGATGATTCTGCCCATGCCAGCATTTCACCATGGCATAAAAACCCTGGCTGGAGGCTCACCCTGTGTTCACACTCAGGGTCTTCTCCAGATGTCACTCAGAGTGCTGATTCATTTAGAAAGCCCCTTCTGAAACTGAGGTCACTTCCAATGGCTCCCCAGGTCCTCCAAGGCTGGGGTAGCTCCAGCACAGGGGCTTGGAAGGCATCAGGAGCCGCTGCCGGAGAGCGCACACTGACACCTGGGAGCAGATATGAGAAGACAGAAGTGGCAGAATTTATTTTATGACAAATCCTAAAAGGAAATTATGCAAAGTAATAAAATAAAGAAGAATTATAAATGAGGACAAGAAATGGGTGAAATACAGAATAAATTACGGGAAGACAGGAAGGTGCAGGAGGAGAATTGAAGACAGAAGTGCTGAGTTAAAGGATAATTGTTAGAAACTGGCTGGTAGAGGAAGGGAAGAGGGCATTTGGGGAGGGGGGACTGGTACAAAAGGAAGCTGGTTTTGTGCACAGTGGCATCAGCAAAGCATCTCCCTGTTAGATGCACCTTGGGGATGGCATGGGGTGACAGCCAGTATATGTTATTTGGGTGCAAGCCCATAAACCTAGGGAAAAGGTTGCTTCTGCTTTGACCTGCAGCCAAAATAAAACCCAAGAATAAAAGGACTGGGTGGCCACAGCCCAGATGAGATCCCATCCTGTGGGAGCCTTGGCCATCCTCCCCTCCTCATTCCCTTCTCATTAGCTTCCCCCAGCCCTGCAGCACCCACTGGGGAGGGGTCTGCAAGGGAGATGCCCCCTACAAAGCCCCTACCAGAGGTTACCCATCCAGAGCCGTGCTGCTCCTGGTTTTGTCGGTGGAATCCTTTGGAGAGTTGGAGAGCCTCAGGTGCAGGAAGGGAGCGAGGGAAGCCCTTGCTCCGGCCAGGGACCCTCTGTGGGTGCAGCCGATGGCAGGAGGAGCTGGTCCCAGGCCCACGGCCCCAGCTGTCAGTCTGAGCGATGAATTACATGCTATAAGAAGGTGTTGACAGGAGCAGCTGGACATCAGAGAGTGATGAAAAGGGAACAAAATTCATTCCGAGTTCAGACAGACTGGCTCGTTAGGGGCACCGGCGGCAGAGGCCACAGAAACATTGCTCCATCTCCTGGACATCCACTGAACCGGCTCCAGGAAAAGCTGGGAGCGCCCCCAAAACCCCTTCCCCATGTGGGTGCAGCCTCCCTGCCTCCATCCTGGGGTGCTCCAGGGGGAGTCACTGCAGGTCCCCCTCAAATCCCTGCACAGCCCAGGGGCGAAACCAGCTTTGCCCAGCCTGGGGTGAGGTGTCCCCAGCCACAGCAAGGGATTCAATTTGGGTATCTTCAAAAGAAACCAAATCAAAGGACTTTTTGTCCCTCTTGTTTAAGGATGTAATTTGTATAAATTGTATGAAGAGGGATGCAGGGGGGAACAGGGACGGGAACATTTGGCATCAAAACAATTATGCCCATTTTAATGCAAACTAAACGGCATGCTAAAGGGGAATTGTTTCGTACATATGTACAGCAAGTGAACATTAAACCGTACGGCTAATAATTAACTGGCTCCACATTACCCTTGCTGCTTGAAATACGAGGGTGTCCCCGTGCATTTTATGTATGGGGAAGTTTGAGGATGTGGAGGTCCCGTATGAGATTATTCCTAAAGCTGTGAAAATAACAAAGAGATTTTTTTCTAAGCCAAGCTACTTCTTGGCATTCAGAGAAGTTGGCAGAGAGAAAAAAGTGTGGGTCCTTCTCCCACCCCTTTCCTCCCTCTCTCCCTCCCTTCCTCCGACTCTCCTCCCTTTCCCGACTTCCACTTCTTTCTGCCGCTGGAGAAAAAGAATAGCAAATT